TTTTCCTAATTATCCCACTTGTCACCCTCATCATTCCACTTGTCAGAAACTGTCTCCTGCATCAAATTTGCAACGAGCTTCCATGGCTCCTGCTTATAGGTTTTGTAGTCACATACAATACTTACCCCAACCTTCTACCAGAAGGAGGGAATCAGATATAATTTCAAACAGGGATGATTAAAGGCCCGGAAACGAGATATGAGAAGAGCAACGAAGATGATTAGGGGGCTGGAGACTAAAATACAGTATATGAAGAATGGTTGCAGGAATTGTGGGTATGTCTAGTTTAAGGAAAAGAAGGATTAGAGGTGACAAGATATCATCTTCTAATATTTGAGGGGCTGCCCCAAAGAAGAGGGAATTGTCTGACAGTTGGAGCAATCGATCAGTGGAACAACTTGCCACTAGAAGCTGTAGGTGCTTTATCACTGGAGGTTTTTAAGAGGGGATTGGATGACCATTTGTCTCAAATGGTATAGGGCCTCCTGCTTGAGCAGGGGGTTGGACTAGATGACCTCAAAGGTTCCTTCTAGCTCTATTTTGATTGGATTGGGATCATGCCTGGAAGCCCAGCGTTCAAAGTCCTTTTTGCGACAAAGTGCCAGATTCAATTCAGCCAAAGCATTAAAAGAGGGCCCATTTTAAACTCCTTTATTTGCAATGTTTTAAAACAACAACAACAACACACGCACACACACACACACACACACACACACCCGTATGGAAAACACAACGTGATTTGTTGCACAGAGAAAGTTCAGTTGTCAACGCACCAGAGATGGCCTCGGTGGAAGGAAAGGAGGAAGTAAAAGACTGCTCAAGGGCCAGGTAGTCCTTGACTTACGACCATTCATTTAGTGACTGTTCAAAGTGACGACGGGCTCACATTTATGCAGCACCCCCACCGGTCCCGTGTTCAAAATTCGGACCAGGGTGGTGGTGATGGTGTTGTCATTGGATCGCCGTTTGCGGCCTTCCCCAGCTGACGTCGGTGAAGCGAAGTCAGCGGGGGAAGCTGGACTCGTTTAATGACTGGTGTGATTTCGCTGAACGGCAACCTCAGCAAAGAGTTTGCAAAATCGGGCGGGGCTCATGTTGAACCACTGCCTTGCTGAACAAGAGAAATTGTGGTCTCAAATGGTGGTCGTAAGCGGAGGTGGGATTCAGCCGGTTCTAACCGGTTCTCAGGAACCGGTTGCAGAAATTTTGAGTCGTTCGGAGAACCGGCCAATCCCACTTCTGACTGGCCCTGCCAACCCCATCTATTCTCCGCCTCCCAAGTTCCAGCTGATTGGCTGGGTCTCCTTTAGTTGCCCTGCACAGGAGAATGGAGCTGGAAAGCAGGTCCTTCCCCTGCCACGCCCGCCAAGCCATGACCACAGAACTGGTAGTAAAAAATTTTGAATCCCACCACTGGAAAGAAGAGAGGAACAAAAAGGGAAGAAAGAGAGGAAGGAAGAAAAGGGATGGAAGAGAGGAATGAAAGGGGAAGAAAGAG